GACGAGTTCGCATATCCAAATAATACTACTGTCAAGCAAATTTCCAGCCCCCCTAACTTTTTAAGGAAAACCATTTAGCAGTTTTAATTTCCATTTTCGTAAATAGCATTCAAAACTCCATCGATTTATCTGGGTCTCCATTCAAAGTCCCACGGTAAGTAGACTACCCTTCCTTGGTAAGTATCAATACAAACTAGAGGTTTACTCACTAGTATTACGAGAATTCGTGAAAATACCTCAAAAGATCGCTCTATTCTGTTTAAAGATCGTAGCTCCCGAAGGATGGACACCGCGACCGACCAAAGGGAAGTTCAAGTACAAGGATGACCAAGTAGAGCATTTCATTATACAAAGGTATTTATTAGAGTTGTAAAGCGAGTTGTTCGAGTATGAGTATGAGTATGATTTATGTTCTGCTTTACAGTCCTGTAGAGGAGTCTGTCGATCGTGAAAATGATGCGATTATAAAAAATAATCTCGTCTACAAAAAATCTATGACAGCATTGGAATATAGGAAACTTGCTCAGAGTCCTAAGTACCGTAATCCTTATCCCGATTTGCGTGGCAAGGATATCGAAATGTAGGTTTTGCGGATTTTTCCTCTATATTAAATTGCGTGCTAAACTTCTAGTTCTTTATTTTCAGCCAATATTTCAAAAATATGTTCACTTCGCATCCAATTTATGGTGCCGACACGGAGGGTTCTTTTTATGACGAAGGTGTTAACGAATTCAACATGAAAAAACTCGGGACTATTTTGGACGAAACAAAGGATGCCACTGGAGGAAAGGTCTGTTTCTCTAGATTTCGTGATACGTTATACTTGTTTATGAGAAGTTATTTATTGGATTTATGAGAACTTAATCTTTTTCGGGCTTCTATAAGGAATTTTGCGGGAAATGTTCTCAGTTTATTGCTTATTTTGTTAAAGTTCACTTTATTATTGTCAAAGGTAGGATAATATTCGAACCAGAAGAATCTGTTTGTTAAGGTAATAAAAGGTGTGAATTCTGTCTATCTCTACTTTGGAATGTACGGTGCATCGTTTGCATGGCATGTAGAGGATATGGAACTCTATTCTATCAACTTACTTCACTATGGCTCACCGAAGGTGAGTTGCATCACAGTTATAGAAATACCGCTGAAAGACTTACTTTTAGTACTGGTTCGCCATTCCCCCGGAGGCCTCACCACGCTTTGAAAGACTTATGCGACAGCAGTTCCCAAACTATGATCGACAGTGCAAGGTATTTTTGGCTGACTGTTTAGAGTGCAGCCATGAGAGGATAAAATAGAAATATTTTGATAATTCTTTAGGCTTTCATGCGTCATAAAAGCTTTATGGTCCTTCCATCCCTTTTGGACAAGTACAAGATTCCTTATGGTACTATGATTCAATACCCTAATGAGTTTATAATAACGTTCCCTCATGTGAGTGGATTTTGGTGTATACCAAGTGCTAGCTGAAGAAAAGTAATTTTCTTCCTCAGGGATATCATATGGGTTTCAATCTTGGATACAACATCGCGGAGAGTACAAATTTCGCCACAGATCGTTGGATTGACTTTGGTAAGAATGCTGTTTTGTGCAAATGCAGGTCGGATATGGTGGAAATAGATATGACGGTGAGATTATGTTTAAATCTACCCACAGTTGTTGATTTTACTCAGTACATACTCTGATGATTTGGAAATTTCAGCCTTACATGAAAAAATATAGAAGGGATCAATTCGAGAAGTGGTATTCATACTGGTATCTGCCTAAACCAAGTACAGAGGTTGACTATCTACCGAAAAGTGAGCCATTGTTTCTTGTGCTGTTTCGTGAGTAGTACCACTTCGGATAACCTGTTTTCAGAGAAGAAGAAAAAACGAGATGAGACGAGTTCTATCGAAAATCTCTCAATTGAGAGCGCGAAGAGACGACGTACCAGTGAAAAGAATGAGATTATAGGTCTGTCATGGTTCCTCTCTGCACTTGGAAAAGAATTCTAATCTCTGAGGTAAACCGTACCTTATAGAAGCTGTGTCATCCTATGGTTCGCGTAGTTCTGAAACGACTGAGTCGCAACTGTCGCTCCGTGACTCCTGGAAACATCGTATTAGTATGTCCTCTTTCAGAACATTCAGAACGTTCAAATTCTGTTTTTTTTTTCTATTCTAAAATTTGTTATTTTCGCTTAGCTGGTGCAGACAGGCATCTCCTAATGATTATTTAGCAATGCTGTGGTCCAATGAGCCGGTTAACTTTTTCGCAGAAAGGACTTTTAATCAAACCGCCGCCCGTATTTGGCCCCATTGTGCTGTTTGTCAATACTTTCAACCCATACATATGTCAACGTCTGCCAAGGAAGCTCCAGAACGGTGCATCTCCATTTAATTATATTGGGAATCTCGAGAGTTGTTTAGCGCTAAGTTGTTTCAAGTTCTCCACGGCTAGCATTTGGTCTTTGCTTTGCGAAGGATCCGCGAAGGGTTCCCAGCTTGGATTTGACTGAGGATCGACTTCTGACGTGCTCGAATTGCTGCGTAACAGTTCATCCCTCGTGTTATGGTGGTCAATCTATCAGCATTTCAGCATTGGGTGAGATCGGATATCTCGAGTCGTTTGGCTTTTTCCTTGTTGCTCCCAAACGTCTTTTTCTCACCTCAGGCACCTGGCTGTGCTTCCGTTGCAAAGATCGAAATGACGTGGCCATTCGAGGTACATCATGTCATCTTTGTGAGCTTCGAGGAGGTGCGCTGTTGCCATGCCGTGCTGGTGCAGATATCTGTGCCTTCGTACATACAGTTTGTGCAATTTTCAATCGGTCAGTTTACTGTCACTTGATTCCTTGCCATTTTATCAACATAACTTTAATCATTTTTTTATTCTGCTTTTTTTGAAAAGATTCAATGCCTATACTGCCGAACTTAGGATTTTCATGTTCATAAGAAATGTGTTTTTTATGAGTCTAGTATATTTTCGCTTACCAGAGTAGCTAATTTAAGGCGGACTGTTTTCAATGACGCGAATAATCCCTCTTGCTGCTACACTCACCCTCCATCAAAACAAACTTCTATCAATGGCGTATTGTAAGACTTTTCTTCCCTTACTCTTTCCTAGTAAATATGTTCTCTCTTTAAATGTCGAGTTTTAGGAACTACTTACCAAAGGAGTATGTTTACGAAATGGGCGATGACTACGAAAACTCTCGCTTCCAGTGTGATTTATGTGGCCATTCTAGAGAAGGCCTTCTAAGGTGTACAGCGTGTGATGAGGTTAAAGTTTGGATCTTTCTTCATTGAATTGATGTGATGCGTTAGTTTGTCGAACCCTAAAGAGGCATTGAGCATATCGTCCCATTTAGGACGGTGATCCTGTTCTCGCACATGCTACATGCGCAAGACAAGCAGGGTTTCTGTTTGAACGACGCACCTACCCTCAAATAACCGTCATGATTTGTGATCGACACCAAAAACCTGAAGGTGATCCCCATTAGTCTAATTTCTTACTTTTTAACGTACGAAATATGACTGCTTACATGCAAAAGTATCAAATATAAGTTTATTCTGTTAATTCATTGTTGATTTGTGAGAAAACAAAGTATTAAAAAGACTTTGGGAACCTATGGTATTGTGTCTTTTCTTCTAGTATCCGTGTTTTTGAATGAGTGGCTACACAACACATAGGGACAAGTAATGACGCCGACATGTCTGGGTGATTGTCCAAACGCCAAAACCTTCTTGCACTCTTGTTGACACACCCCTTCCGCAATGTCACTGGTTTACAACGCCTTTTTATGCGCGTATCCACTGAAGCACAGTGTAAGCCATGTGGGCAAACCTTCCGAGGAGATTCGAACTTCCTTGGTATCAAGGCGACTTGTCACTGCTAGAGATTATTCTCTCTCTTGAAAGAATGGAGTAAACCACTGAATAGATCAATGAATTGCGATTCAAAATGCATGCATGTAAAATGTCTAAAAGAAGCATGTAAAATGACCAAAAGAACGGAATGCAAAGAAATGAATGTATTTTCAGAGATTTGTTATGAACTGAACACTGCAGGTCAGATACACATATACATGTTTCATTTACTATTTTCCTTGTTTTTTTNTTTTTTTAACTTTTCACCTCTTCAATAACCAATATAGGTTATTAAACTGAAAGAGGTGTGATGGGGTTAGTTTACAGTGGGACCGCTGATGGATGTGAATTTGGGAGACATTGTGATAGCTTGGATGGACGGCGGTTCTCGGGTACGACAGGGCAGGGTGGATCGTTTGGTCCTACGAACGCTGCTAACGATCGACTTTGAAGATGGATCAGTTTCGGAAAACACATTGCCTAGTGACATCGTACAATGTGGCTGCATTCGGCAGCAGGGTTGTCGCGATGGACAACATCAACCTGGCAGCAGGGTGCGTTAGCATGCTAAACCAGCGTAGTTGTTCAGTCAGTGTAGTGCACGTTTTGTTTGCTTTTTTGTATAGTTCTTGTCAGAAACGCTAGAATAGCTGCTTGCTGTTCCATTGACAAAAAAGGGTACCATTTGGTAACGGATACTTTTAGGTTAAAGTGCATTGGAGTGATGGTGAACTCTACGATGGCTACTATCGATGTATCTCGAAGACTATCGAGTACACAGTTGTATTCGCAAATGGAACATCTGCTCGCCTACCACGGGCTGACCTCTATGGGGCTGATGATCCAGTACCACCTGAAGTTCGAAGACGTCTACGCAAGTCGTTGTGAAGGTGTTTGCCTGTATTTCTTGTAAATGCTTTATATAGTCATTTTGTTTTTTGGTGTTGGCAAAAGAGATGCGTTAGCATAGATCTGTATGTTTGGAAACGCACTGTAAGTGGTTTATGGTTCATAGCCGTATTTTCGATTGATGGTATCTCAGCCATGGCTAAGCGGGTTTTAGTGGCAATAATTAAATGCTATGCTTTTTTTTATATCTCGGTTTGTCCTTTTCAATTTTTCTATGTGTCAATTTTAGTCAGCAATTGCCCTATAGGGAGGTTTTTTTCGATTTCTTGTGAAAATTGTGCTGTTTGTTTGTTTCTAAGCATAAAAAGTTAGATCAAATTGATTAGTTGATTTCAAAAAAGTACTATCAAGCAATACTACATCTCGCGTCGTTTTAGAGCATGATTCTCGTTGGGCATTAGTAGCCGACTCAGTTTTCGTTGTTTTCTCCACAAATATATTTACAGGCGGAAAGTTTATCAGAGTTCTATTAAAGTCGAAGGAAATCCGGAAGTTCAAATAATTTCTATGGCACGAATAAAAGGTGCTTTTCACAATTCCTGGATTGTTTCCTAGTTATTCTATAGGGTAGTGGGATTCTTAAAGCAATGATAGCTTAGAATCAAAACTTGGAGGCCAGGGCTGGGTGAGAAGAGGGGGGGGGGGGGGGGGGGTATTTTTATTCAGGGGGATTGTTTTTAAGAAAGTTCTGGAGTTCGTTAACTATGCTGCAAGCAGTTTACGCGAGCCCTAGAAACCTTTGGGATCACCTGTCGTTGGGAACAAGTGGGTAGGGTCAGGTATCACTTCGATCTAAGATCTTTAATCGTGCGTTCGTCCTAGTTGAGTTGGTCCTTGATCTCTCCCATTCATATGGTGATAGACACTCAAATATATGAAAGGACGCGTTATTTGGATTAACAGCTGCATGGTCGTAGGGGTTTACTTCTTTAATGCGCCGCTAATCGTATTACGAAAAGCAATTTGCCTCACTTTTTACTGCCCAATAACTTTTTTTGCTCGACATGTTTACTGCAAATCGAGCGTGTATCTATAGCAAAGTCACGGAATACATTTCTAATAATGAGGATTACTTTTGTAAATATATTATATAAGGTTTGCAACTAAGTAGTCGGGTTTTGTTTGCAACTAATCCAAACATTTATCTTGAAGGCTAACTATCTGTTTTTCAAAGTGACCAGGTACCTGTGTAATTTATGGTCAACGAATGTCTGAATAAGTAGTTTTTTGTTAGAAGTCAATATTATTTATCTCAAATATACTTAGTTCCTGGTCTAAGGCAACTATTTAGTTGTCAACCTAATTCTTTGTAAATACTTGGTTTTGCTGCCTTCAAAGACGCACTGTTTGAGCTAATTGGATCAATTATGATTTCAGTAGAACTTAGAAATAATTTGGAATGAGGAAATAGAAATAAAATCCGAAAAACTGAATAACAATCAATTCTTTAAGTCTACAAACAACGACAGTGGCTCAGTTTCCAGTGAAAGCATTGAATTCGTAGAACTCGTTAATGTAAATATAAGAGCGGCTTGATAAGAGTCTAAACAGTGATAATCCCCTCTACAATGTTCTTATCACCTCTTGCCGCGTGAAATTGTCGAAAAAACTCCCTCAGTACTTCAAGTTGTCTCCTAATCAATTTTTTATAACTTCTTATCTAAATGTTACTAAAAATAATTGCATGCAAAAGCATTTTCAAGTATTTTTTAGTATGAAGCAGTATAATGAAGCCTTTCGGGTCACTTGATGACTCGATAAAGTACTTACTTGTAAGAATCGGCTATCCTCGCATTCGATTTACAACTTGACTAGGCGAATCGCACCTCTGGAGTGGGTGGAGTTCAAAGGTACAATGGACAACATCGATTTTCTCGCCAACGTTTACGGCTCCCATCCAACCTGAAATGCTCGGTCAATGATCGAAAGGAACCCTCTCAAGTGCTTGTTCTCGTTCTTCTTTTTCATCAGTGATTAATTTATAACATAAGTGTTGTCGGTGATTTTGAAATACTACTATTTTGGAACCTTTGCATGACATTTGATTGCCCTGATCTTTGAATTTCAGCCTGTTTCGGTGATTTCGTACGACTTTCTAGAAGGTTCTGGTTGATTACATAGTAAATTACTACTAACAGGAGTAAAAAGAAGGATAGAGGCGTATATTTTTAAAATGCAGTTTTGGCTCCCAGTCAAATGTTCAACTCCATGCTGAAATAGAGGGCTTTTCTTCTTCAGTGAAACATCCAAACGTGTCAATTTTCTAGTACACATCGAATATTTGTACTTAGCAATTGCTTAATAATTGATTGAATGCTCTCAAAATGCGTAAAAAAGTGTTCCTCACTCTTTTTTGTGTACTCACCATCGCTCTGAAAAAAAAACAGACAAGACTTTCTTCCAGGCTTTTTTTTTNTTTGAAGAGCCATTGCCTAGAACCACTTTCGCACGCCGAAATATATCCCTAATTAACTCGATAGAAGCTTCCGTTATGATCCAATTTAAATGCAAACCGTCCTATGGTAATATCCACTACCCAACGCTGATTAAATAGGCACACAGTTGGGAATAATCTCCCCTCTTATTAAATCTTTTATCTTTGTATCATCTTATATCTTTTATCTGGGAAATCTTTTATTCCCAATTATTCCCAATAAATTGGGAGTAATTGGGAATAAAAATGCTATCAAGTAAGTAGCGATTGTCAGTAGCAGTTTTTTCGATCTTCAGTAACTCAAATTGTTACCATTTGTCAATTCCCTTAAGAAGTTTTTCCATTTCGAGGCTATTTATCAAGTTTGGGCCTCGAAAGATGCTCTTATTCCTTGATCGACAACTAGTCAGACAGATTTGTGTTCATTTTAGTCCAAAAATAGCTGTAGTGAAAAAGGCTGAATTTCAGTACGGTCAATGACCCTAACCATAAAACTGCCCATCTCCCGAAATGTCCGGTTTGACAGATTTTATTACCCAATACTTCGAAAAGTGATTGCAAGGTAAAAGTGCAATTTTGTTTAATTTGCACAAAAGTATACTTTACACAGAGGAATTTCAGGATTTCGATTCACCAGCAAAACTTTTGTTATATTTCAATGTAGCTTTTGTGTAGTTCATACCTTTTCCTCGATCGCTTGGTGTTGTTTGAATTTAATAATTTTGCATGTTGGCTGATCTTTATATACTCACTTTGTTTGTACTTATGGCATCAATTATGTGTTGGCATGTGAGCTTTTTGATGCTTCAGCTTCTCCATGATTCAATATGGTGAATGCTTTGTTTCTGAGTCAGAGCATGAATCTGTAATGAAACTCTTTTAATTATGTGCTGCTGTGAATCCTGGTGTAATCACACATTCCATAAAATTCTCAGGCTCAATAGTCTCCTCCATTATGACCTTAGAGCAAAAACTTGTCAAAAAAAGGCATAGCCCTGGTGTTGAAACCCTCATCAGACCTGATAAACCTAAAATTGGAAATGACTTGTAGCCCCAAGAGAAGATTTCCAGGTCTGAGTACATCTCAAAAATACCGACAATCTTTTTTTCTTCTCTGAGGAGAGTTCGCATGCATCAATCCAGTATACACCCACTTGACAACTAATTTTAAATGATACATTTTTCCGGGAGACGGGCAATAGGAACGGTTTTGTGTAATCGATCCACCGCACGCGGCTGTCGCAGACCATTCGCTCGCCATTGGAGCTCTAGCTTTCTTCATACAGCTCAACTGCTATGCGATTATTACTTTTGACATAATTCTAATGTTAGTTTTTTTGTTCCTGCATTTCTTACCTGCTTCATCATTTTGATTCATTCCTTCGCGCACGGCTTCTCTTTCGCCGCAACGCGACAATTTTGATCCTACTGCACCACACCCATATTTTTCGGATAAGGCTAACTTTCTTACTGGACAGATTTTTAGGGCATTTTTTGAGGTTTTCGGACATATCTTTTGTTTGCTCGTTGTCCAGTACAACGTCTTAATGAATCTTTTTCGACTTCACTGTTGAAAGGACAAAGACACTCGGAGGATCCGAGGAAGATAGATCCACATAGGTCAAATGGGTCCTATGCGGGTCCTTGAAGGAATGCCTGTTCCATAAGGAACACTTAAGCATGTCTGTTAAACTCGTTCTACTCCGCCCATTTCAATTTTCTTCGTTTATGCTGTGAACTCGCTGAAACCTTACGACTCAGTTGAGCGTTTGGTTTCACAATCCATCGGAGGAATAATTATTCAGTGCTGTAATGGAGTGTTTAGTAATGTAGCGAACACACCATGCCAGTGACAGGTCTCATTAGTCAAATGGCAATCGCTCTCATTAGCTGCTGAATGGTTCAGTTTTTTCAGTTTTTTTTTTCGGGTTTCAGAATCAATAGCCAGCACCTCGTTCCCACGTAACACTCGAGCTCATCAGCTTTGAGCAGTGCCTCTTGCCAATGACAATAGTGGGGCCACCTGTGACTGTGTTCAGTGCACTTCCGCCCCTCACCCTTTGCATTCACCGCCATTTCACTTCATCTGTTCAGAACCTGTTCAATTTTCTCCGTAGTTTTTCACTGAGAAACCACTTTAACTGAATTGTTATGGCACTTTCCATGAGGCTCGTTTGTATTAGGAAATTTATTTGAATTTCGGACTCAACCAATGCCTATCCACAGCGTAAGGTAGCGAACTGCGCGTTTTCGCGATTCCATGCTCCCATTATTCAAGGGCTCTCTGAACAGATAAGTATCTATCCCGTCCCAGAGGATATCGCCTTCTCGCTTACTCTTTCCCACACTGCCCGCCTTTTAACAACACTTCACATTCTGCTTGTAGGTTTGATGGTTATTGATTAGTGACCAACGGAGTAATTTACGTAATAAGTTATTACTCTTGTAGTATTAAGGAAGCTTTGACCCTTTCACTATCCTCGAAAGCCTCGCTCCTGCTTATAAAATATTGGAAAAAAGAATGGATGCTTTTGAAACTTTTTATTACCACCTAGGTTATTTAAAAGCCTGAAACCACACACGTCGCATGTTTGTTGACTTTCGTATTTGTATTTACTCAAAACGGAACTCTTCAAGTTTCTTCTGCGGCAGTGACGCGAGCTATTGTTTGATTAGTACACCATGATAACTGCGAAAGGCTGATATCAGCTTATCGCGACTTCCCAAATAAAGTAACTAATAAGATACTGCGACATTTAATTTTCATAAAAATTGAAATATGCGACCAACAATCGCTTGAATCAACAGCAGGCTTGAAATTATAGTAGAAGGAGATTAAAATCATTTTTCTTTCATTTCATTAATTGGACTTTCATAGCTTTCGTTTTGTTCATTGCGAATTGACACCCTTCGTTCCCTCCTATGAGTTTTTTTTTCCTTGCTGTTCCGAGCATAACCGCGCTAGGGTTCGATCCCGCGCCTTTTCTCATCGCGCTTTCTCAATCACCGCGCTCTTCCAATGATACCGAAACGATCAGCAACTTGTTAGCTTTGGTTTATGTGTACCACCCAAAGCCAAGAAAAGCTTTCATAGTTTCTTCACCATTGGAAGATGATCAAGAAGCTCGGAGAGCTCACATCCATGTTCGATCTCAATTAAGGCGATGGAAATTCGCTCATAACTCAACCCTCTCTTAGAGGAGTCTTAACTCATTCTTCTCCCAGTTAACGCAAGCCAACTTTTTAACCCTGATCAAGAAAAAAGATATGCCGTCTCCTAAGACAATGGCCATGGCGGGATCCAAGAGCGTCGCCGTGCGCTGTTACCTAGTTTCGGCGCAGTGGCCTCGAGAGGACCTCATGACCGTCTACCGCATTGAATAATTTTATGGGCTTCGGTAAAAAAAGAGTAAATTAAATTGTTAGCACTTCTTTTTGGTACTTAATTCTATATCTTCTTAGAGATCTATTTAATATGAACAAAAATCCGACTTTCCGAGTATTCAATATTTGGGAGACAAAAAATTGAAACTTTCGAGAGATTTTGAGATTTACCTGGTTTAATTTAACATTATCAAGGTTGCTGTTTTCTTTGCAGTTCGCTGAAGAACCCTTTCGTTCTCTCACTTTAAAATGGTACCTGAACTTGCCATAAGTTGGGTCTCAGAGAGACTTCTCTCTCTCTGCACGCACACCTCTCTGAAACTTTACCTCTGGCACGAAGCTTTGCTCATTATATTTCTTGCAATGTTCAATAACATACATTCTGGACATTGTAAAGCGCCAGTACCTATAGTTTGTAGCAAAAGATTATTAACGGGCTAGAGGGAAGAGCGGTCAAAAAGTTGGAATGCGTGTCATATGAGTGAGTCGGCTGCTGGACGGAGGCAGGCGGGTGCAATCTGCCACCTGACCCTCCGCTACGTCTGTAATCATGCCGTTCGTAATTTCGTTTCTCGGAAAATTCCCGGCTCATTATTTGCCCAGGGTTTTATTCCCTTTATCCCAGCCTTTTTTCATTTTTCCCGTTGGTGGAGTAATGTTCCGCTCTGAATTCACCTGTGCACACACAGTATGGCACTTCAGCCGATGTTCCCAGCAGACCATCGTCAAATGCACTTTATTCAGGAGTTCTCCTGTTCCTAAATTTTTTTAGCCATCTGGTCCTCATCTTGGCCTACGAGCTAATCAAATGACTCTTACCTTGACCCATTGACCTAACATTGCCCCTTGGCACATCTTCACTCGTTTCATGTGCGCGTTTTGCCCATCGTGACTTATGCTCCACCCATTCTCATCTCTTCACATCATGTGAGTCGCCAAGTAGTGCAGCATGCCATTACAAAACTAACCGCCAAAGTAAATGTTGAGGGTCCAAGCTAGGCAACTGAAAAATGAGGTTGTCACTCACCTCGCAAGACGACTCTGTTCTTTTAATCCAAGCCTCAGGGGGCTTATGTGTTCCAAACTGCCGCTGATGAAACTCGACGAGAGGCATTGTTTTTCTCCGCTGAAATTCCGTATTTTAGCATTTCCATGAATGGATTTTATAGTTTTTTTTTTTNAGATTTCCAATTGCTCTCGTATTCGTCCTAACTTGCCATTTTGACTGCCGTCGATTCAAAACTTTTTCGTTGATGACAATGATTCGTTACGAAAATCCGCGCAATAATTTGTTCAGATATCTTATTGAATTAACATTTTGGGAAGAAGGCGGAGGCAAAATGATGCGAGCCGTTCAACAACAGAGGTAAGTCTAAGCTGCAGTTCCACCTGAATGTAGCCGAAAATGAGGTTAGAATTGGAAGATAATTACGATGACCGTATTAAAATTGAATAAAACATATGCGAAAGAATAATAGGTTGGAAGATAAGTCTTGCAACACTTTGGACCAGTTTTTGAATTTTATATTTTTTAATTTTATTAATATTGATATTGTAATTTTGCCATTTAATATTCTTTGTTAATATTTATATTTTATTAATTTTACACGTGAAAAGGCGCAGATTTTTTTCTGGATGAATATGTTCAAAGTGTTGCAGGACTTATTATGCTCCAGACTCATACTTTCGAAACCTCTCGATCGTACGATGTGGGTACCGATCTTGGAATTTCCAATTTTTTATTGTATTTGTCCAACCGGGGAACAAGAACGGTTCATTGGGGCTTCAATCTGGATAAGAATGCAATCTACCGGAGGATGGTCCTGTGAGAGTCTCATGCTATAACTTTAGCGCAAGGTGCCTGACGACAACGGCGTTATTGTGTCAGGAGAGACAACTAGATCTCAGTGATCCAGAACAGCTAGCTCTTCATAAACTCTATCGACAAGAAAGGATTACGCCGCACAAAAGAGGAGTTGAACTGTTGAAGACACCGGGTTTGAACAAGGTGAGCTGGGAAGGGGCATTTGTTTCTGTGTGAATAGCGAACAGAAGATTATCAAGTTCGTTATAGATGTAAGACACGCTTGTTTCCGAAGTAATTATGCGTAGCTGCGGTCGAGCTCTCATAGGTTGCATTCATAGTACTGAAGCGGACGGTCGAGCTCTCATAGGTTGCATTCATAGTACTGAAGCGGACGCTGGCGTCGGCAATGATTGTCGATCGATATCCTAAAGGTTGATGACTCACGCCACGTTGAATGCCTTTGACAACTTTTAGAATCCGAAGCGGTAAAAAATGTGCTCCTAGAGGCATTAACTTTCACCATGATTGGATGGCAGTGGATCAGGTAGTATGAAATCAAGGATTACCCACATCGAAATTAAAATAACAAGCAAAAATTAATGAGTGGTCAATTAAAGACCCGTAGTCGGTAGATATACGAAAAAGGGCAGGGCAATCTATGCACTTTTGATGCACACAATTTATTTAACGCAGCAACGGTTATGAACTCGCGGAATATCGATCGATGGCCGACGTCGGCGTCGGTACTATAAACGCAAGCATTCGTCTGCGGACGTCTCTATTTGATTTTGTTTTTAAGGGTATGGCCTTCTCGTTGTATGAGCGGCAATATCTTGGTATTCATGGCCTTATTCCTCCTGCCTTTATGACAGCTGAACAACAAGCGTACCGTGTGATGTCAAAACTCAGAGATCAGCCAAATGATCTTGCTAAGTGGGGTTTTCTCTCTGGGCTGCTGTTTTCGTGTTTTTTAATTCTTTATTTAGGTATATTCAACTGGATAGTCTTCAAGACCGTAACGAGAAATTGTATTATCGAGTTATATGTGATAATATCAAAGAACTAATGCCTATAGTATACACACCAACCGTAGGATTGGCATGTCAAAAATTTGGTTTCATCTACCGTAATCCAAAGTTCGTTTCGAGACCCTCATACTGTTGTTGGAGCCGTTCTAGTAAATCTAAATTTCAGGGGACTGTATATAACTATTAACGACAACTCGATTAGTAAAATTTATCAAATTCTTTCTAATTGGCCGTCAACTAACGTTCAGGTGAGTCTCCGAAAGGAATCCTCGAGACGTTACATGAAATGTTCACTTGTTTAGGCTATTGTAGTGACAGATGGCGAGCGAATATTGGGACTGGGAGATCTCGGAGCGTACGGTATTGGAATCCCTGTTGGAAAACTTTCCCTCTATGTCGCATTGGCCGGCCTTTATCCGGAATGGTGTCTTCCCGTTCTAATCGACGTGGGCACGGATAATCAGGTGCGAAACACGCTCTTGTAGTCCATTCCAAACCCAATGAGTCTTCGTCAATGCCAAGCGTGCGGTTGTAAAGCGGCAGGGTCACTATCGATCCGCATCTGGACAGACGGCGAATCGCGGTCTATTACACAAGCTGAATCTATTGTAAAAATGGGCCGAGATCGATATGCATCTTGTCACTGTCATTAGCTTGCTTAGATAGAGTCAAACACAGCTGTGTATACAGAAATATATTTTTACCGCCATTGGCTCTGACATGACATTATTTGGCCCCTATAAGGCCCTACTAAAGCGAACTCTTTTCAGACGCTTCTGGATGATCCATTCTACACAGGTCTACGTCGTAAACGAGTTCGAGGTCCCGAGTATGACACACTCATTGACAACTTCATGAAGGCTGCCACGAAACGGTATCGCCATCTATTCTTTTGCCCTAAGTCGTTCCTACAGACCATCAATTTCCTTTCGAATCTCTGTATTCCAGGTTTGGCCGCGACACCCTCATCCAATTCGAAGATTTCGGTAATCAAAATGCTTATCGTCTCCTTGACCGGTACAAGAACGAGTACTGCATGTTCAATGATGACATACAAGGTAGGAGATGTTCTGCTTTTCTGCTTCTTCTTCTTTATTTCATAATTTTGAGGAATGCTTTTTACAGGAACGGCAGCGGTTGTGGTGGCAGGCTTGCTGGCAACTACACGTATCACCAAAAAACAGCTATCGCAACAGAAATTCGTTTTCTTCGGAGCTGGAGGAGTGAGTTTATAGTCGTCTTTGAGAGTGTTTGCTTGACGTCGCGTCTGGCTTATGAGATGACTCAATCAGGCTGCTACCGGTGTGGCTGAGATGTGTGTGCGACAAATGGTCCATGAAGGAATCACCGAACAGGAGGCATATGACAACATCTACATGATCGACATCGATGGTCTTCTGACGAAAAGTCGAGCGGCCAATTTATCAGAACGACATCTTCACTTTGCTAAAGTAGGCTATTCTTCATTCTCGAATGGAAAAACAGAAAACCGTTTTATACTCTTTCCTTCAGGACCTCCCTGAAACGAAGAGTTTATTGGAAGTGGTGAAAACGGTAAAGCCCGCAGGTATCATCGGTAAGTTACCGGCTTCCTGATGATTCCCGTTACCAACGATGATTTCCTATTTCTTCAGGTGCCTCCACCGTGGCTGGCGCCTTCACGGAAGAAGTGATCCGGGAGATGTCCGAAATCAATACGCGGCCAATCATATTCGCTTTGTCTAATCCAACAAGCAAAGCTGAATGTACAGCTGAAACAGCATACCGTCTAACAAATGTACGTTTATCGATCCGTTTTTGTTTTTCAAAGTGCGAATCGAGCTTTATTTAAGGGCACTGTATTATTCGCTTCTGGATCACCATTCGAAAATGTGGAAATGGAAGGCAAAATCTTCAAACCGGGACAAGGAAATAATGCCTATATATTCCCTGGAATTGCACTCGGATGTGTACTGTTCAAGGCCAAGCACATCCCTGACAAACTGTTCCTTCTTGCAGCTAGAGTGAGAGTTTCTTCATTTGAATACAAATTTGAAATAAGGGGCTTGTGAACCTTCGGAGTCAAAGGTTTGTCATGACCGAGGCCATCTGGGGAGACAGTTCAGGCGATCAGCCATGGGGTAGCGTCGGAGCTTGCAGCATCTATCGGTTTTAAGTAGCCTTCTCAACAACAGCGACTTTTGGGCGGTTTTTCCCAATGGGAGTTTTTCCCGTAACATAGTGTTACCGTATTTTTAAAACTAAAATCGAAATAAAAATCAAAATTCTTTCAGAAATCCTGAATGCGGGTAGCCCAAGTTTATAATAGCATCCCTACGGGAAGCAAAATATCATATTTCCTCGTGTACACTGAAGGACCACAACCCGATCATTGATTTTGCGCCGTTTTGGAAAATTAAAGCGCTTAGGAATATATCCCTCCATGATAAGGCTGAATTCAGAAAATAAAAAGAATGAGAATTCCAATTTGATTCAATTACTTAGCGAACAGTTGTAGAGGGTCTGTAAACTCAGTTTTTCCTCTCAAAGGTAATGAAGAACTTTGAAAAAAACAGCTGAAGCTAGAAAATAATGAGGTAGTTTGTGGAAGAAAATCAGACGACAGCTCGGAATTTCGCATTTTTGGAATTAATATCCAAGGGGAAACTTTTTAGTATAATTTGCCTACTTGCAGATTTCCCACTTTTGTGGTTATTCTTTTCTTGATTTTTTTTTTGGAATATCTTTGGATTTTTGTAACTTTCAACGAACAACATTATGAGTAGTCCACCAAAAAAGATAGCCTACCTAATTCATAACGAAATATAGGAGTATCTGTTGTAAATGGTTTTTTAAAAGTTAGAAGGTACTGGATACTGGAAATACATCTTAAACCCAATCCTCGACATTAATCGCGGTCTTCTGTTGTTTCGGAAAAAAGGCTCCAATTCAAATTCTCATGACGGATGAGAGTTTGTGCGAAATAGTTCGATAGCTATTCTAGTTCAATTTCAAGGTACTTGAATTGGCCAGAACCTCCATGAGTACTGGACGCCAATACGAGCTTATTACCAATGATGAGAGAAAGATTAGTGGCCACTTTATGAAGTTCTTCCCCTTGAATCAAATCCGTTCGAAATTGGACTTTTTGTGTCCAAAAACACTCCAATACCGTGAAAAACAACGAGATAGTTGACGCAGCAATCAAAACACCTCCGACACTCACTGTCCACAACGGATATCCTCCACCGTAAAAAAAAAACAAAAAAAAACGAATTCCCAAAACTTTTCCACATTTAAAGACCCACTGAAACATGAATTTTTCTGTCGCAATTGAAAACATTTCAAGGTTAAGCTTAGAGTTGTGGAAGTCAGGGGCAGTTTTGAAATTACGAGGTCACCCTTATAAAACTCATGTTTATGAACATCGAATTCAAAATATATATATATATATATATAATTAATCAATAATTACAATAAATAATAATACGAAACTTAAATTTATCTCGAACAGGACAAGAATTGCCATTTTTACGTTGAATGATGGATTTCTTGGCGTCAACCCAATTTTAAGAGACCTGTTGCAGATAGTAGCCGATTCGGTAACCGAGAAATCGCTTCATACCTACTCAAGACTATATCCACGATTGAAAAGTATACGTGAATTATCGATTCACATCGCTATTGAGGTATACTCTATTGAATCGAGTTGGCAAGACAGAGGAAAGACTGGCGAAAGCTATATTTTTCAGGTTGGCGAATACCTCTATAGGCATGATCTCGCCACATTGCATCCCAAACCTGATGATATGGTTTGTCCTTTTTCTCATCTTTGATTACTCTATTTATAGAGTTACTATTATGCTCCTGCACATTGAAGACAACATTATACATTGTGAATGACAAACTTTGGGGGAGGGGATAAGGGGGTGTGCCACCTCTGATTGCTACGACCGGAAGCTTCTATCCAAGTGTTCGGTAGCTGAGAGTTTAAGATATTTACTTTGACGAATTAAGGACACTTACTCAGGCATGATCCATGTAATATTACCGATCCAAATAAGATAAGAAATATTCATTGGAGGTAAATTTCGAATGGTATACCGCGCGGTGAGACAACTCGCTGACAAGACTAACAATAAGGCCGATATGCTGTGCTATGAAGTAACTCGTAAAAACTGCCGACCTTGCGAGCGGATGAGGTTTATGCTACACACCTCGCAGTTAAATGGGGTAGCGATGAACGCTCCCGTCAACCAATTTCTCCGGAATGCGCCATGTATTTCACGTATTTTTTGGAAACGTAGCAGCATTCTTAGAGTCGTTCGAATTATGAGGGCCAATCATGACTGTCTCCATCTTCACTTTAACAAAGCCAGTCGTCACGTAAACAAAAACAGAGGGGATAGAAGATGTGAAGTGCTTGGAATGGATTCGGTATAAAGAGCCCTGCGTTAAGAGGCATAGCTTAAACCACCACACTCAATCCCTGACCTTCAGAAATTTCCGTTCGAAATAAATGAGATGGGGATGATTAATATTCTTGGGAGAAAGAATGAGACAGTGGGCAGATACTTTAGGAACATGAAGTTCCTAGTCCTATCAGAGTCAGACTGTGAATAGCCTCATTGGCTGCACCTAGCTCGTTCACTGTCCGGAAAGGGAGACTCAATTTTTTTAAATTTGTATAGTTATTTCTGTATTCATATGCACGTCGGATCTCTACGAATTGCTGCCATTGCAGGAAATGTTCATTCGACAACAAGTATACTCTACAGAGTATACCGACTTGATAAATGAAACATACGACTGGCCAGCGAAAGATTCGAAACACGGTTTCCCAGTGCCTGTATTACGGAGGTCGTCTATGGACGATGAGTGATGAAGCATAGGGAGATTCGAGTAGCAGTAGAATTCGCCTTCAAAGATTATCAAGTGTCTTCTAGTCTGGACAGTATTTATGTATAATAACAAGTACATATTACTTGTATAATGGAATCGTTTTACAGTTTACTATGCACTGATGAATTGTCAAGTTTTACCTAGTGATGTACAAATAATAAATGATATTTTTTCCACTCTGGTGTTGACTGAGAGTTAACTGGGAACCCTCTTGAGTACGGGCAAGGTGTTCAACTTCTTATCAGAATTGTAGAGGTAATTGAAAGCGTATTTTGGCGTCTACATTGCTCTGAGCTAAAGTGTAAAGCGACTTTATTTTCTTCTTACAATAAGATGGGCCTGATTTCAATCAGTCAGCTCTCAGAAACATGGTTGTTGAGGACAAGATCCGATCCATTGAGAAGTAATTTATAGGGAGTCCCCTGCACAATTGTTGACGCTAATTTGAAGCATGCAACCCATGGTTCAGGACAATCACTTCAAAATTCGCTAATCTTATAACTGACCCAGATCCTGGCAGCTCGAGAAGCGAACCACATATTCGGAATCAACTTAGGAACTTCTACGAAGTGGTACATAAACTATGGCAGAAGCGAGCCAGACTAGCCATGCAAAAACAGTTAACACCTGCGAAATTCCTTGAGAGTCAAAAATCAACACGGCTGAGATACAGTATAAAAGCCGCGTATTATCGATTAACTCCTCTTTGCTCTCTTTATTTGTATATTTCACCTCGTTTATTGCAAGTTCTTCAAGTGATGTGCTCTAATGAATTTGGTCGATTAATTGGTTACCGCTACCGTTGTTATCAAGGTTTAATTACCCAAGTTTGAGGAATAAATTGGTCGGTCGTTAGTGTTGGCCCGAGTGTGAATAATTTCATAAACTATGTAAAAAATATTCATAAAGTTCCGCTTTGACCTTATCTACCCCTGGGTACTGTAGCCAGGGTTGATCCTCGGTCAATGCCGTTCTCTTTTGGTTTCCTTCAATTTCTTTGCGTCCTCTCCACCATCAAATTTCTGTGCTTCTCTTTTGACTCCATCCAACCCCCACCTCCCTCCCTACATGGACTAATTTTTGTATTTTTGTATTATTTTTTACACTTATACACATACAATAGTTTTTAGTGGAAGAAGAAGAGATAAATAAAATACAATGTGTAAAGATCCTCAGAGCTTCGTAACGACAAGAAGATATGAGATCAAGAACGTGTCAGTTAGAATTTCAAATCATATGCGAATTGAGCCCAAGGAAGTTCCGACTGTACGGTTTAATTGGCGACTCGCTAGTTTTGAAAGTGGTCTCAGGAGGATTAGAAAGCTTCCATCAACCTCGAAATTGACATGCAAATCAAAAGAGCATGTAAGTTAGGAATATTTGGCACGTGCAGGACTCGTGGCTTATCCCTGCTTCCCGTGGCTTGACAAAACTCAATCAAAAATGAAAAGTGTGATGAGAGGAATGAGAAAGTGCAACGAGAGGGAAGCGAAGAAAGAGCAGCGGACTCATGGGAAAGGAATCGAAACCCTGGTGGGGAAAGGAAATGTTGCTGCACAACATTCAGGATGCATTTGTTGCACATCATAAACTTTTTTTGACTGCTCATTATGAGCGCCAAGTGTGAAAAAAGGAGTGGACGGACTCATTTCCGGAAGATGTCCGGTCCTTAATGAGGGTTTTGCCGAGCAGTCTATAGCCTCACCTTTTCATACTTCGGGCGCTTCACCCTCCTACTAATGCGAAGCTATTATGCACCGCTACTCCGCAGTGTGAGACCTCTTTAGAGAATGTTTACGCAGAGCTTGAATATAAGGAGACATATCAGTCCAGTGATAACCTCTCAGGGAAGCTTTCAATAACAATACTTAATCGAGTAGAGTTCACTTCATCTCTTCGTGTCCACAGACTAGTAGCCATGGCTGGTAAGGAACTACGTTCTCAAAGCAACCTGAGCTCATGTTTGCCTGTCATCGAATACTTCAGACTACTTTGTGCCCTACCTCGATACTTGTTCAGGAATGCCAAGCAAGAGCACTACAGCTTTCCATTTCAGATCAACCTACTCCAGATGATCCTTTTGCCGCACTCAAAAAGTAGGTTTTCAAAAACTTGCTACTTCACTTCTCAGTGGCATACGAAATCGCCAATCCTGGCCTCTGGGCAATAATCCATTACTGTTGTATAAACGCTACAATGACTGCATACTGAGAAATAACTATTCAGTCAAATTAGTAACTTCGCCCATGAGGTTTTCACTACTCAGATCAACCCGAGAGCTTATGCAGGGGTAGTGATAATTGATCGCGTGCGCATAAAATCAATACCCATCTTACAGTAAATGCGTACTGACATAAAGCGGTTGTAGAACTGTACTGGCTGCTTTTATCATTATCACTACGTAGTTTCAGTGCATTCTCTCATCTTTCTACAGTGACCTCTCCTGGTGGTGGTTCATTCCTACTGATCATTACCAGCCGAGTTATCGTCCTCTAAACGCACAATGCCAAATGTTTTGTGATATATAAGACTGATTATGATAATGAGCGAAGCCTCCCTTATCTCCCTTCCCCTTTCCCATTCGTAGGCATGGGTCAAGAGACACCATCGCTAGTATCGCGAGCGGTAGTTTCACCACGCGCGCGGCTAAGCAGTATCACGAGCGATGAGTTTAACCAATTAGTAGCCTTAACATTTATTGCAGTCTAAGTGGTAGCTAGATATCCACTATAACGATCGATACCACCCATTAGGATCGGAGGTTTTTTCAAATGTACACCTATTATGCTAAATTCAGGATGTCGCCTCCATCCAAGGAGAGCGCAGAGGACGAAAGAGCCAGCCCACCCGGCAGTTCGCCGCATGTTTTGGATATGAGAGACCCGAGGCAAAGAGCTCTATATAAAATCTATCGTCCTGAGATAGTTACTCCTAAAGTGAGAGGTGTCGAACTGCTCAAGATGCCGTGGTATAACAAGGTGAACTAGCTTCTTGAATCCGATAACCAGTTGCATTGAAAATACATACGTCGAACTGGGGAGGGGAAGGATGGGCAGGAACCGGGAAAAAGAGGAAGCGACCGTCTACAGAGAAGCCATCGTGAGGGCTTTCTATGTGGACTGACTGGTCGTGGTACTCTGCTGTCACCCGCTGGCCCCTACCCATGCTATCTCGGGTTCGAGAGAAGGATCCTTATAATAAGATGATCTAGACAATTGCAGGGTATGGCGTTCACCCTCTACGAACGTCAATTTCTTGGGATTCATGGGCTTATTCCACCTGCCATGATGACAGCCGAACAACAGGCATATCGTACGATGGTGAAGCTCCGTCAACTTCCTGACGATCTTTCAAGGTTGGAACTTAAAAAACCTCAAGAAGGATTTCTACTTACGATTCACCGAGGTTTTAGCTGTTTCTTTCAACGATGGTTCCCATGTTCAGGTACATAGAAATGGACAATCTCCAAGATCGCAACGAAAGGTTGTTCTATCGAGTGATCTGTGAGAACGTCAAGGAGCTTATGCGCATCGTCTACACACCTACTGTAGGACTTGCATGCCAGAAATTCGGTTTCATCTTTCGAAATCCGAAGTACGTTCGAATTCACACCGTACTCTCTCGATGTCTCTTCAATGAAAGACCAAAGATAGATTCAAAAAAAGTCATAAAACAATCTGACGTTGGTTTCTACTCTGAACAATAGCTATCCCTATAGATAATCCCTATATTCACTCTGAACGGTTCTGGCCAGATCAGCCAAATCGATATGCCGGCAACAATGGGTAGTCCCTCCGGCTTGTCGATTGCATCCTCTTGACATCCGGATAGAAAGCAGTCGATAAAATTGATGGAAAATTCCGGAACATGGAACTCCATAGAGGAATTCCTACGCCGTCGAGCATGACTATAGTCCTTCTTCATTATCTAGCGAGCTTTAGGATGGGCATCGATTTTGCGCGTACACAATCGATATCTGATTTTCCAACACATCCTTTGAAATGCGATGAAAACCACAGGCATGATGCCTTCATGTAGCTTCGCCTGATTGACGTTTTTCAGAGGGCTCTACATAACGATCAATGACAACACTATCAGCAGAATCTACCAGATCCTTGCAAATTGGCCGACAAGAGACGTTAGGGTGGGTAAACACTGGGTCAATGAGTATGCTCGCAGTTGTAAGGGCTTCAAATACGTTCAATATAGGCAATCGTGGTGACTGATGGTGAACGTATACTCGGTCTTGGTGATCTCGGCGCTTATGGAATGGGTATCCCAATCGGAAAACTTGCGCTCTACGTCGCACTTGGTGGAGTGCATCCCAAATGGTGTCTACCAATCATGCTTGATGTCGGCACCAACAATGAGGTTTCTGTTATCGTCTTTCTCTTGGTACAGCAAAACGCGAAGTACAGTTTTTCAGAAACTTCTCAAAGATCCGTTTTATACTGGTCTGCGAAGAAAACGAACACGTGGAGCGGCATACGATCTTCTACTCGATTACTTTATGATAGCTTGCACCAAACGGTAAGGACTCCATCAAAGTGGCCAAATAGGAACCGATGGAGAAACAACTCAAAGCGATTCTCATGGGAACTAAGGTGCTCTCCGGAAACAGCCGGTATAAGCCTGGGCATATTAGTTATTCGGTGCTGAGTCTACCCTCTATAGAGGGGACCCTCTATAGGCTCCGTAAGCCGGGCAGTCTCTTATACTAGCTCATGTTTCGAGATAATGAGAGACATATCTGACAACAGAAATTCTCTTGCCCGAAAGCAGGTCACCTTAAGCGGCGGCATCGAAGGGGACTCCTGACCATCTACCTAATTAGAACCTGAATTGCAGGTTTGGTCGTAATGTCCTCATTCAATTTGAAGACTTCGGTAATTTGAATGCATATCGCCTACTGGATAAATATAAAAAGCAGTACAACATGTTCAATGACGACATTCAAGGTAGTCCCATCTTCCACAAATCATTCGTTCATTCCTCTTTATTGTAATCAACACAGGAACGGCTGCGGTGGTCGTTGCTGGCCTTCTCACGACTACTCGAGTTACTAAAATGAAGTTACGCGACTATACAATTGTATTCTTCGGTGCAGGAGGAGTAAGTTTTATAACGACTTATGAAAACACTTTGTATGGGGATTCCGTTTCACAAGACGTCATTCTCTATAAATAACTTGAGAGAGCGTTTATGCTCAGCGAATAGTGGCGAGGACGCAACGCGTCGCGCCTATAACACTGGTCGTGTTGAGGCACGAGGGAGAGCAGATGGCAGAGTCTAAAAGTTGCCTGGGACGGAAAAAAAAATAAAAAAATTAATAATAAAAACGTGCTTCTTAAAATTTCCTCTATAATCACGAAGAGAAAGCGGCAAATCCACCGTCAATTCAGGCTGCTACGGGTGTTTCGGAAATGTGTGTGAGGCAAATGGTAGAAGAAGGTCTTTCTGTTGAAGAGGCCTGTTCCCAAATCTACATGATGGATATTGATGGTCTTATTACGAAAAATCGTATCCCAAAACTAACACCACGACATCTTCCATTTGCCAAAGTAGGTGAAATTCTGGATTAAAAGGACCATTAACATTTGACTTAAACCTAAATTCGAACCACTTTGGTTTTTAGGATATGGAGGACACCAAAGATTTGCTGGAGGTTGTCAGAGCTGTAAAACCTCATGCGATCATTGGTAAGATGAGATTAGTTTTAGCATTCCACCATTTGGAAGACCATACCGTCCAGCATCATGTTTAATTATATACATGCTTCAGAAATTGCCAATTAGCACTTAGCATATATTTTTGCGCGCGCGATTATCATAAAGCGGGATACAAATAATCGATACCCATCCTTAACATTCATGGGCTAAGAGATAAATCATGTTAGTCAAAGCAGTTCTAAGACAGGAAGACCTGACAGTCGTCGCAACACTTGTAGTTGAAAGATCGTTAATGTATTCATTTTACGCGCGTAGAAAATTGTTTACACGTGATCTAGGTAGTCAATAGAAAACGTTCCTATGCACGGGATAACGAAGCTGTCCAAAATGTGAGGAGAGAACTATGCAGTCAGCTGCCATGACCTCAAGGAAATATGACAAATGTGTAAAATTTGACAACACCGGACTGTCATGCTACGGCAAACACCGGCACGGCTGCTTGCAGCAATCAGCTGTCAGCCAAGTATAAATGCAGAATTAATGAACGCCATGTAATGGTAACTGGAGGAGTTTCTTCAGGAGCTTCGACGAAGGGTGGTGCATTTACTGAAGAAATAATTCGGACTATGGCCGAATTCAATGAACGACCTATAATTTTCGCTCTTTCAAATCCGACAGCAAACGCGGAATGTACTGCTGAACAAGCGATTCGTCTAACGGATGTGAGTAAGTGGACATCAACCACCTCGCAAAATATCATTGCCTTTTCAGGGAAGGGTGCTGTTCGCTTCCGGTTCACCATTTGAAAATGTCAAATATAAAGGTAGGACATACAAGCCAGGTCAAGGCAATAACTCCTATATATTCCCTGGTGTCGGTCTGGGAGCTGTACTTTTCGAATCGAAGCACGTTACCGACAAGATCTTCTTGCTGGCAGCGAGGGTTAGTTCTAGTAATATTTACTCTTTTATAACATATGTACAAATTTGGGCATGGGTAAACAAACAAACAAGCTTCAGGTGGTGTCGACTAGTGTGACCGAGAAATCACTCCAGAAATACGTTAGAATTTATCCTCGTCTCAAGGATATTCGCGAGTTGTCAATAAAAATCGCCACTGCGGTAAGTTAGCTTTTCTTCTGACAAAGCGCTAGGTAGTTTCTTGGACCATTGCCTCCTCGAGTAATGCTGATTACCGTTATAACCCCTCCTTTTTGTGGCCAACTATAACGACCTTGCTAGAACGTACCGTACTCTTATCTTCTTCATCATTAATTGGCATCAATGAATTATGAAAACCGTCTAATAAAAGAAAGTGGAATCAAGGTGGTGTGGAACCAAGGAAAAAGGATATAACGTAATCATCAGAATCCTACCAATGAGCCCAGAGTTACAAGAAAATGGCATGTAATCGAAAAGGCGAGATAACCAGCGAAAAAGTCTCCTATCGAGTAACCGTTCGAGATCAATATGTCTAAAGCCCGTACTCAATGACGTCTCTTGTCTGAGTACGAGGAACGCATGATTAGGTTAGTAACTAAGAAATTGCGTATATTTCTAAGAACTTCAAATATTTACCTCGAAAAGCAATTGTTTTCTAAGGTGATTTATAATTATATACGAGGTGCCTCAGTATTTTACTGTCAATATATTACTGTACAAGTGATACTTGTTCGCAAAAAGAAAAGACAGTGATATTTTCCTGAAGTATACCCAGTGAATCAGTTGCCACCCTAATGGTATAGCAAATGAGCCGGTATTAGAGTAATAAGAAGTGGTGTTGCCGGACAAACAAGGTTCAGGGATTGAGTTCCTGCCCGAGGTTAAGCGAAGTTCAAGCAGTCTAAATCACATTACAAGTTGAAGCCATTCTATTTGCACCATATCTAACCTACTCCATCACGTTACTACAATACCGAAAAAGGTTCGACATATTCCAAAACAAAATTGAATTAGATTCACGAACCTGTACAGGATAATTGCTGATACTTCTGTAGCATAAAAAGTGAAATACAGAATGGTTCGCGTTAGAAAATTCCTACGGTACCTAGCAGAAAATGCCTAGCAGAAATAGCTATGACTTTCGAACGTCGGGTCTCTTCTATGGGAACTAGGAGTCGAGAAACCTACTCTTCAGAGCTTTCCTCGGAAAAATACCAGCCAGCGAATGCCCCTAGCAAGGGCATAATTATTGTCTTGGAAGGTTAAATCTTAAGACGAGGGTTGGTAATAAGCCCCTCTTTAACAATCCAAAACCGCCTATTTTCCCTTAGTGCGTAAAAAAAATCAAACTTAAATTTTCAGGTTGGAAAGTACCTATATCACCATAATCTTGCTACACTGTATCCGGAACCACACGATATAGTAAGAGCCCTAACATTTTTCAATATTAAAACGAATCAACCTTCGCAAAATCTCTTAAATTTTCAAAATTTCAGGAGTTATACATTCGTCAACACATCTATTCGACAGAATATGAAGAAACAATAAATAAGCTTTATGAATGGCCAGCTTCCGATCTCAAACAAGGCTATCCGGTTCCCCAATTGGAAAGAAAATCTATGGAAGATGAATAGACGGCAAACGGCGGATATACTCAGTACTCAGCTATTGTTTCATGAAATCTGTCGTGCTGTATAATTTTTGAATTATTCAAAAATACGACTTTTGTTTTCTTCTCAGGAAAAAATAAAGGTCTAACAAAAATGGAAACCAATCAGTTGAGAATCACTTGAGCTTTAATACGAATGCACCTCAATCCATTAAAAAAAACTTCAAAGTTATTCGATAGTTATAAAAACAAAACAAGTAAACAAACAAGCATATTACCTCCAGCAATCCAATGAAAGATGACAGGTGAACTGTTCTGTATGAGAGCCGAACGGATGGCTGGATGGATGTAGCCTTCAAACGGATCAAGCAAATTATTGCCATGAAATCTTCTCCCCATACCCTTGATTGAGGTATTTAAGGAAGGAAATTCATCGCTTATAGTCATCAGAACGTGATTATGTAATCAACATGTTATGCATCATTTATAAACAAAAAATCAAATTCAGTTTATAGAAAACAGCAACAAAATAATAAATAACAACAGAACAGCATAACATCAAACAACAAAGGAAAACAGGGCTTGCAAGCCTAGACCAATAACTCGTGTGCTTTAAAGTGGGTATTGATTTTAAGCGCACTGAATTATAATTCATTTCTTACATGCAAAAAATGAAATGATTGTCTACACGACTTTATCACAGTAC